TAGTCCTGGTAGTGGTGGATAGGTTAACCAAATATGCCCACTTTCTACCTATTAGTCACCCTTACACAGCTAAGGAAGTTACTGATATTTTTATTCAAGAAGTGGTGAGGTTACATGGGTTTCCTAGTTCTATAGTCTCTGATAGAGACAAAGTCTTTATGAGCTAGTTCTGGTCAGAATTATTCAAACAGGCAGGTATCAAGTTGAAGTGTAGTAGTGCTTACCATCCTCAATCTGATGGACAAACTGAAGTGGTGAATAAATGTTTTTAGACCTATTTAAGATGTGTAACAGGCCTGAAACCAAGACAATGGCCCAAGTGGATGGATTGGGCAGAGCATTGGTACAATACAAATTATCATGTCTCACTAAGGACTACACCTTTTGAAGCTCTTTATGGGAGGGCTCCCCCTGTGTTAGTCAGAGGAGATAATCCTCCATCAGCAGTAGATGAGGTTAATAGATTAACTGCTGAGAGGAATTTAGTGTTGAGGGAACTGAAGGAACAATCACTTAAGGCTCGGGATTTAATGAGAAATCAGGCCCATAAGCATAGAAGGGAAGTGGAATATGAGGTGGGAAATCAAGTGTTCTTGAAGATCCAGCCTTACAAGATGAAGAAGTTAGCCAAAAGGATGAATCAGAAACTCAGTCCTAGGTATTATGGCCCTTTTGAAGTGATCCAAAAGATAGGTGCAGTGGCTTATAAGCTGAAGCTACCTGAGGATTCTAGAGTACACCTAGTGTTTCATGCACCCTTGTTAAAGAAGTTTGCATCACCTGTTGTGGCACCTCAACCCCTGCCAGCCTGCATGAATGAGGAATGATACTTGGAACCAACACCTGAGAAAGCAGTAGAGTACAGACAGGGAGAGAAAGGCGGGGTAGAGGTGTTGGTCAAATGGAAAAATCTGCCAAACTTTGAAAATTCCTGGGAGTTGGTTGAGAAAATGAGGGCATAATTTTCTACTTTTCTCCTTAAGGACAAAGAGAGTTTTGAAGGGGTGAGAGTTAGTATATATGACAAAGTCTATTAGAGGAAACATAAGAAGAGAGAGAGAGAGAGAGAGAGAGAGAGAGAGAGAGAGAGAGAGAGAGAGAGAGAGAGAGAGAGAGAGAGAGAGAGAGAGAGAGAGAGAGAGTAATATAATAGTATAATTCTGCTAGTTGTAGTAGCAGATGGGTTGGACAGCTGGCATTTGGTGAGTAGAGAGAGAATCTAGGGATTTCCAAATAAATGATTGGTGGCTGACACCATTCAGGTTATGCAGAATTTAGTGGATAAAATCCTATTGGAAAAGACTAGGCCTCTCTAAGAGTCTCTTTATCCTTTTCTTATTTTTTTCTATAAAATTATGTTCTTCTTTGAATGACTAGATCCCATTTGATCTCTAGTCCTTTTCAATAAAGTTCATAACTTTCATACTGATTATTATTATTTCTGCTATTTCTCTTGTTTATTTATTGTTTTTACTTTTAGATACTAAATTGAACCTATCAGTCACCTTCAACAATACTTATTCTTCTCCATCAACATTCTTCATTCTCTGTTCATGGATCAACAAGCTGCTTTGAATTTCATCAACGGTAAGAGTGACGTTGTTAGATTCTTCAATGGAGCAAACAACATAATTCAATTTTGGTACGAGGGATCTTAGAATCTTCCTTGTAATGTCCATTTCTTGTACGATTTCTCCATGCGCTTTCATCCATTTGTCAATGGAAAGAGTTTGCCCAAAATAGGCTTTATCAGTTTCTCCCTCCTTCATTCTGAGTATTTCAAACTCAGACTTCAATGTTTGCAATTGATCCTTCTTCACCCTCATGGAATCCTTGAGATTTTGTTTAATAGAGTCCCAAATCTGCTTGGAAGTATCATCATTGAGTATGGTCTCCAAGATTTCTCTATCAATTGCTTGATACAAATAATTCTTTATCTTCATGTATTTCAATTGTTGCTCCTTTATAACTTTCATTTGTGCTTATGTAGCTTGAGTGCCTTATGGAACCATGTCAATTCCCTTCTCAATTAGGGTCCAATATTCCTTTGCACGAAGGAAATTCTCAATTAGTTTTGTCTAGTGCTTATAGTACCTATCAAATTTTAAAATCCATGGTTGCATGAACTTCCCATTGGTGCTACTACTCTCGACCATCTCTGCTTTTTCGTACTAACAATATTCCTTTCACTTAGTGTTTCACTCTTTGCTGAAGCTTTCTATCAATCCCTAATCGTTGAGCTTTGATGCCAAATTTTAAACTGAAAAACTTATTTATCTCACTTGAAAAGATGGCTATTTAAAACTCTTATTACATGACAAGAATTAGAGAACAATCTATACTAACCTTTAAAATAGGACTTCCTAAAGACTAGACAACATATGAACAACATAGAAAATAACTCCTACAAAATAGGACATTATAAAAACATTAACGTTAACATAAACAGGTTTACAAGTCATAACTCATATTCAAAAAGATAACACTCATGTTCGAGAATAAATTATGTCGTGCAATATGTTATGCTTAGACCTCAAATCTTTTGATTCGATGAGATTTACACATTACAAATCCTAGCTCAATCCATTTTATCACCTTTAATAAAAAATAAACATAACGCTCAATTTTCAGACAACTCTGGCCTGAAAAATAAGAGAACTTTCTTTTTTTTTCTCTTGTTTTAATCTATAACATATATAAAGAAAAAACATGGTGTTTTGGTGTAAACTATTTTTCTACCAATTTTACCCCTACCTTAATGTGTAACTTACACCATAACTTATATTGAAACCACTACTATTATTTTTCACATAACTTCCAACTATTAACTTAATACCTAATTTTCTATTATTAATAAAAAATATCATTTAAATTTTTATGTGTGCATTAAAAAAAGCGGATAGACGGACACGCGAGTACCCGTCTGAACACTAGTTATAAATTATGATAAAGACTCAGAAAGTTGAAACTCTAGTACACCTTACTTGCTTCGACTGTAATTATAGTAGGGAAAAGAGACATATTCCTCCTAACGTGTCAAAAATAACTTAAGGTTGAAGGCAAAACGATATAACGGTTACCATGACTCTCTTAGGAAAAATCGAAGCATAGAATAGTCCAAACTTTTGACTAAGACAAATTTAATTATAAAATAAAAATAAGACGGTGCTATATTACAGAATGAAGAACAGGTCTGACATTTTTGTCAAAAAAATAAGTTCCAATTTTATACATTGACCGAAAAAAGGCCAAATACGAAATTTTCTTATTATAACGATAAGAGTAAATATTAATGTTGTCTATGACGTTTGACATTTATATTCAATATATTCTTTTATTTTATCAATATAAGTCTTTTTCTGAGTCTTAGTCAAATCAAAGTTATATAGTATTTTATGGAGAAAGACCAACTGGTTATTATAGTATTAATACTCTATACGTATAACTCAGAAAGATTTGGATTCTGTAGAACATGAAAAATATACCATTTTGGATCATATGACGAAATTTATACCTAATTAGTTAGTATTAAGCAATATAAACGGTGAAAAATTACAATGTTCGAATTTTGTGTTTGAAATCATCCCACGTACCCCTAAAACCTAACGCTCATTAAAAACTAAGAGGTCTAATGGAGAGAAATTATATATTCAATAATGCAGGCAGTAAGCCTGTACCTTAAATGGGGAAATAGAGAGAGCGCCACAATGATGTGCACTTCTGAAAGGACTTCAACAAAATGCAAACAAAACGACCAAATAACTTTGTCATGTCACACAAACAACTAGATTCGTTGAGTAAATAGATATACATATACCATATCTTGGCGAGTATAAATTGTTACTTCTAATTCTGATCTTATCCTTTTTTATATTTATTTTTAAATAAAAATTTATAATTATGCTTACCTAGTTATACCGCTATTTGAAAAAAATAACTGTAAGATAATTTTGAGAAAAAAATTCTTTCAAAATTTGAAAAACTTATTCAAGGTCAAAATATTGATATTCTAAAACGGAGACCTATTCAATTCAGATTCCCATAAGCCCTTGATACTCATCAAATCAAACATCATATTCATATCCCAAATGTCTAGTCAACATCATTGAATAAAATGCCAATTTAGTTTTTAAATTATCATTTCCTAAACTTATTAAAATCAATTAAAAACCTCTAAACTATTAGTAATATTTCACCTAAACTATTTACAATTGTGTTCATTTCAACATCATTACTTGCCAACATTTTGTTCAACATAATTTATTCAAGAACTCTGTATAAAATTTCTAGAAAAACACATAAAACTGCAAATATAGACAAACTTGTAACAAGGCATAATCGATTCCTTCCCAGCACAAATCAATTTGCAATAAAATATCATACACCAATTTTTTTAATATAGACGAAGTGGTAAAAACAACTTAAGAAATCACACATAAGTCACCATGACTTAACTTTGCATATTAAATTCGAATTCTGATTATCTTGTTCAACCTAACAATATTTAAAAAATCACTCATAAGCCAGTTTGACATAACTGTGCATATTAAATTGGAATTACGATGATACCGATCAATCTAACAATATCAGCTGCTTCTCCCAATTGAGCAAGGATTTGCATCCTCATACACCATTATTTTAATCCTACCTATTCTATATATCAACTACTTCATTAATCATTATTCAGAACACTTTGTTCTATTCAATAATTAATACTCATTCTTCTATTTACCAAATACTTTGACATCACTACGAGTAATAAACGAACAAACGCAGAAAATTCAGTAAACGTAGTCGTACATTAATTAAAGAGCCTCCAAGTCCGCCAAACGTTAGTTTCGTTAACTTTTTACCATAACAGCGAAAAACTGAAAGCGGTCATTAATATTTTATTTCTATTTCGTCAAAAATTAAATTAAAAAAATAAAACAATAAAATTGGAATTGAACGCATCGGTACAGTATCACAGTAGATAGAAACTGTAACTGTAACTGTAACGGTTACTCAGGGATGGTAAAAAGTACCGGCCGCCAAGCTCTTCTCAGTAACCTGTATCGGAACGCCGATGACACCGGCCGGAGAGCTGCGACTGCGGAAGATCTACGGAAAGGAGATCCAGTTCGGAATCTGACGCCAACGGTGGAGCCAGAGAGGAGTCCGTCTTTCTGATCGTCCTGATGATGTTGCTGTTGCTGTTGGCAGATGTTCTTCTCGTCTTGGAGTGTAGGTGGAGGAGACGGAGAAGAGACGAATAGGTCTTTAAGTTTGTGGCGGACTTTGACTTCGTCGGGAGAAGTTTCCGGTGGATCTAGGGGAGGAGGATGGAAACGGCGTCGGTCGTTAGGGCGAGTGAGGAACATGCGAAGGGTTTTTCGACGGCGGAGGTGGATTACGGGACTGGTGGTTGGACTGCGGGTGGGACTGCCGGCGATGGCACATTGTGTGGCTAGGAGCTTGAATTTGTGGAGATTGGGCATAGTGCGTGCATTTAGAGAGAGAGAAAATGGAAAGAAAGAGAAAATGAATAAATATTATGAATTTGGGTATTTTTTGTTTTATTTGTGAAGAGAAGGTTAGATCTGAGAAGGATGGGATGGCGTTGGAATTAGAAAGTAGAATGAGAATGATTGGGTAGAGTAATGAAAGGGCGTTGCATTATCGGGGATATTAAAGGGGTCTTTTCTCTTGGCGCTACTCTTAACCCGTCCTAATCCTATCTCTTTTTGATAATGACTAGACCTAATCCTACTTCTTTGTAATTTCGTATTCCTGCTGCATGGGAATTTTTTTTAAAGTTAAATTAAGAATAAGATATTTTGTTTTTTATATCTTTAAAATTTCAAAATAATTGGAAATAGACAATAAATGCAATAATAAAACACATGAAAATAAATTTGTAAGTAGATTTTGAAAGTAAACAATAAAAGAAAAAAATAGTAATAATGTTGTGTTATAATTTGTACTTGAAAAATAGTACACATAAATGAGTTAATAAAGTCTCATTTGTATTTGTATCAGGCATGATTTTCATTCTTTTATACTCTTTTCTTTCTCTTTTATAAGTAAAATTTTATTTTTAAATTTATTTAATAAATGATATATTAAAATTATATATCGATTAGATACATCAATTATATAGTAAAATTAAAAATCAAAATTTACTTATAAAAAAATGAATAGTATGTTTGAATAGTTGACGTGATTTTAATTTTTTAATGATCATTTAATGATGTCGTTTTCTTGTTTGAATCTGATCATTATTGTCATTAATTTGACATTACATTAATTATTGTGTTTGTCTATATGTTTAAGTCTTTTCAATGGGGCTATTATCCAAATCAGTATCGTATTAGACAAATCGAGTTGGTCTTTGGGTTTAAGGTCGCGCCTACCTTGAAGCTAAGGTGTGCATCGGAGGATAGGGAGATAAAGTTTTAATATAATATATAGGTGAACCACTAGAAATATATATGGACGACGTGATTGTTAAATCCAGTAAAGAGGAGTTATATGATCAGTATCTCATCCGCATATTTCGAAGAGTATAACAATACAATATGAGGTTTAACTCAGAAAAGTATGCCTTTGGGGTTAGAGTCAAAAAATTATTGGATTTTTATCTAACAAAGAGAGTAATAGAAAGCAATACTAGATAAGTGTGAGGCATTCATCTAAATAGTAGCACCAAAGACAAAGAAAGAAGTAATGAAATTGAATGAAATGTTGACATTGTTAGACATGTGACTTCACGCACAATAGGAGGTGAATTGTGTGTTTCAGAAAACTTGAATTTAAAAAACTTTTCGAATCAAAATCAGAGTTTGAAAATATTTTAGAAATATTATAAAGTTATGCAGCAGAAATATAAAATTCAAAAAGTAAAGTGTCGAAAATAAAAGATAAGGGAAGAGAGAAGACACCAGGAGTTATAGAGGTTCGGTCAAAAGAAAAATACATATTTCTTTCCTCAAAAATTGTTATTGAGAGTATCCAATAAATATAAGATTTTTCAGTAGGTTGAACTCTCAAACTCCCTTATAAAAAAAAAAGAAGTTTATGGCTAACTTCCAACCAAACAACAAACCCAGAGAGAAACGGTGAGTCTTACTTCCAAAAGATGAATCAAATTGGTTAACTTTTTTCCACAAGAAACTTGGAGTGGTTAGTCTTCAAGCTTCAAACGAAAATTTTGTCACGACTGATCTTGAACCTGGGAGAGATTTTAACATCGGGCTAAACCTAAACTTGGTTTTGTACTAGGTTGACTAAGAACCCATGAGACTTTACCATCGAAATGATCTTGAACCAAAACAAGCTTTTATCACAGGCTAACCAAGAATTAAAGTTCCCTCTATTGATAAAAATATGAGAAAGGGAACTATAGAAGAAGAAGAATATGCAAATAAGGTTGCAGAAGATGTTTTTGGCACTGGTGTATAATGGGCTTATGGAGCTTCATAATAATGATCAGTTGTTGAAGATAGTTATGGAGCTTGTAGGAGATTGAGGTTAATGATTATGGTATTCCTCCTGGATAGCTACCTGTGTCTTTTGACTCTTACTATTATGTGCTGCTCTAGGTTGGATGTTATTCTGATCTCTAAAGAAAATTGTTCTTTCCGTACCTTTGCCAAATTATGGGAAAAGGGGATAGTAATATGGTGTTGTTGAGGTAACATGTGAATGTTTAGTACTGAGCATCTAGGTAAGTACTAATGATGTTCTCACATGCTAGAGCATCAGGCAAGATATCTGATCCTTTTCGGAGTGAGCTTTTGTGTTAGTAGATTTTTGCATATCATGTTATTACCTACTAATTGTTTGTCTTATGCATGACTAAGTCTGTGAATGATTTCATGTTGATAATTGTTAGTTAGTAGGAATGTATGCTACTAATTATAAGTTACATAAATGTCATGTATGACTAAGTTGTGAATGATTGCATGTTTGCCTGATCAATTCTAGAGCATTGTTTTGTGTGGTATGATGAATGTTATTGCTTTTTCGTTGCTAAGCTTACCTCTTATATTTCAAATATTGCTAATGATTATATGCTCTGAAGTTTGTCACTTGTTCTGGTATGAATAAGTGTTATATCTTAAAGAGTAGTTTTGCCATAATTTTCTAAAAGGGGGATTGTTTTTCTTTTTGGATCGGCTGCATTTTGAAAAACAACAACATGGAGAAATGTTCAAAGTGTTCAAGATCAATGTGCAGAAGGGACATATGTTGGACGCGATGTCATAAAATGTTGGTACGACATCTAGGCCTTGCACAACAACTTATTATTGTTGCGTTTTTGGAAGATTGTCTGGTTAAAGATTGGATCATATTTTATTGCTAATTAGTTTAGAAATGTGCTTAAGTTATTTGTTTGACAGTTGGATGAAGATTGGTTCAGATTTAAATTTGAATTTAAATTAAAACAAATCATATTTTGTTGGAGAGATTTATGGAACATATAATATCCAACATACTCTACATTAATTCTTGATGAATTTAAAGCTAATATCAAAGAAGAAAAGCCCGCAATTATTATGCTATATAAGAAGCTCAAACCTACATTAGAAGGAAAGCATTCACATTGATGTTTTTATAGTGTTAGGGTTTACAAGAGTCCTTGTTATTTTATGTACACCACACCATGTTTCAGTAACTTGGCATAGTTGTAAGTTTGTCTAGTTGAGTTGTAAATTCAACATCTTTATGTACAACTCTATATTTCAGTAACTTGGAATAAAAGGTTTGTCTAGATGAGTTGTAATATTTGACATTGATAATTGAGTGAATCACCAATCACTAGGGTTTAGTGATTGAGAGAAAGTGAGAGGGGTTTTCATATTTAGGGGGAGTCCTATGTAGAAAGTCATTGGTTAGTGTTAGGAAGAGGCATTAAACAACATAGGATTTATTGTTGTTTGTAAGACTAATTATACTAAACTACTAATAGTAAATTTTCTTTAGTTCTTGGGTCGGAAGCCAACCCTCTTGACGTGGATGTTGTTGCATAAAATTGAGTTACCAATTATTGTGTTATTTATTACTTTTCTGCTCCATCATCTTGCACAAATTGAATTTATGTTAATTATGGTGATTCTGGTTTAACTTGTCGAACCAGTTGTCTAGGATATCGTGTTTGACATCTGTCCCCTGAGGAATATAATTTCAATTTTCTTGAGAAAAAAATAAGTTTAAAAACCTGCTTGTGTGTGCGATTAGCCGTACACTTTACAAGAATTCTATTATGCTTTTACAATATATTCACTCAGACGTATCAAGGAAATCTTACATACTTTCAAGTCTTGTCAGATGCTTCTATCTTGTAGACACTTGCTTGAGTTCTCTCGAGATGAGGCTTGAGTTATATTCCATTTGGTTTCCATCATCAAAGAGTCAAGTCCATCAAATCCTAATATTCTGGTTTGCATCTTTAACCGTTTTATGCTTCACTTAAGTTGTTGTCATTAAGGACTAATTATCATCATCAAAAGCATGTTTTTCTTTAATGGAACTTCCTTGATTAGTAACCTACAAAATAAGGTTCCACTGACAGCTCTAAACAAGTTCATATCGAAGTCGGCGTTACAAATTGTTAAAGAAAGAATCACATTTCAAGTGGACTCCATAGTGTGAGCAAACTTTTGCATCCCTGAACGCGTCCTTATCAACCCTAGCAATATTAACTTGACCATCGGTCGAGGATATTTGCTATCTTTATTTGGATATGTCCAATGAAGTAGTCAGCATCGTCTTCGTAAGATGATTGAACTCTGCCTAGAGCCCAATTTATTTCATCTCTAAAGCCTTAGCCGGACTAGAAACTGTTAGACGATGGCAATGATTTAGAAGGGGAATCGAATAGATCACTAATTCTTTTTAACTAAAATCGGTGCTTAAAATTTGTTTCAAAAATGTGTGGAAGCGGTCGTGAATTTTTAATCGTCTAAACGAACCATTATTGGTAAGATCAGATATACGTAGCCAATATGGAATGAAATTGATGAGATAAGTGAATCAACAATTTTCACAATCAATTATTCAAATTATGACTACTTTGAATCAACCGGTTTCTAATAAATTATTAAGGTAAAATTAAATTGACAATATTACGAACAGTTTGTGTGCGATCAATATGTTGTACATTTGGTGTGCACAACACCCCAAGTTCAATTTCTTAAGAAATGATAGTGCATAATTTTTCACAATTGCAATCAAAGTGATTGCAATGAGTTTCCAAAATAGTTTTTCAACACTACACTACAGCACAAATTTATCGAACCGTTGATATCACACAAACGTTAATAACACAAAGTAAAGAGATAGAGAAATAGAGAATGACACCCGATTTTTTTAGACAGTTCTCTTTTCGTCCTCGCTTCGGGTACGTCTACCCCCAATTCTAAAACTAGAATTGAGATATGTATAATATCAAGTTGTAAAGTTTTGTATAAGAGAAGTTATAGCCACCACACACTCA